GATTTTAAAACGTTTTGGCCTATTTTTGTCATGTAGAACTTTGTTTATACTGAAAATATGTATGACATATCAGGTCTGTGTTCAACGCTAAAACGCTTGGTTCATATGCTTTCCTTTGTGTATATATGTCCTACCGTAATCGGTCATAATGTCGGTTCGTTCGGATTTTGTTATTGTACTTATCACACGGGAAAACTCCGCATTGACGTCTCTACGCTAATACCAGCGTATAAAATTAGTGCAGAATACATTTTTTTCTACACTTCTAAATAAAATGATATTTCCAGTGGCGGATCCAGAGGGGGGCGTAGAGGGCGTACCCCCCCCCCCCTTTTGCTCGCACTTTTTTTTTTTTTTTGTAAAATGATTAATCAGACTAGACTTCGTGAACTTTGCCATTTTCCGCGTATTTAATTTTTATGCGGCAATTCTTTGCTCATAAAGATATGTTTCGCTCGTATTTACTGTAATATATTATTGATTATGTCAAAATCATGTGATTCGCTACGGTGGAGTTGACCAGTGCGTCAAAAAAACGTCACTAAGTCATTTTGAAATTCAAATTACAGTAACACATTGCTTAGGCTGAGGATGACAAGCATGACACCTTCAAAGCGACAAAGGATTGAGCAAGAACGTATTTATTGACTTCTATTTCACAATTCCACCGAACAGAAAGTAATACTCTATTACACTTTCATGAAAAAAAAGTTCCACAACAATATTATTTACCTACGAAAACATGTTTAACCCAACACGCCCCAGTCTATTAATAACATAGCTGAATAATGGTCCCCAGTCAATAAGCAGTCTGAGATGTTTGAGAGAAAAAATTCTGACCCTGATTTTTGCCTTAAACAAAAATTCTGGCCGTATCTGGATTGAAAACAATAATCTTGTCCACTTTTTTTGCTATTAGAAACAAAAATTTCCAACAGAATTATTTAGCATTAAATGAACATGATGAATAAAAAAACGGGCGTAATTTTTTTGGGGCCGGGGGTTTGCATGTAAATCCCATATCTGACCGGAATGTCTGTTTCGTTGAACTGATAAAATGAATACTTTTTCAAGGCCCGACTGCAACCTGCCTGCTGGGTGTGGCCTTTATGTCCATTTGTCGACCGTCATTCATATATTCGTTGTCATTTCAGACTCATTCGTAGCCTTTGGTTGATTTGAAACCCCTCACTTCTCTTGTTGGGTGAAACATTTCAACCAAACATTTGGATAAAAATTGCGTGTTTGTCTTTCTTAACTCGTGTCGGTCGTATTGTAAATTTCATTGAATAGCCCGGCGTATATCTTGTTTACAACAAGAAATCCGTGACGTTATGGTAACTAAACATACAACAAACGAGAATTTTCCATGTCAGTTTTTTACTGACAAGTCCCACATCAAATATATTAGTACATAGCTTTGGATCCATCTAATCATTTTATAAAAGACAATTAATGGGAAGAATACGGCATCAAAAATGACCAACCCTTACACTTTAGCTATACAATATACATGCCTTACGTCAGGAACCGATAAAAAAGTGCATTTTACACTTATTTTATGTTTTTTAGCCAAAAAAAAGTCCAAAAATTGTTTTACATACTTCGCCCCCCCCTTTCAAAAATCCTGGATCCGCCCCTGATTTCTAAAGATATGTTTTCATTCTTATTCTTAAGTATTGTACAAAAATGCAGATTTTCTAATGGCCATTTCAAACCTGACTTCCGAATGCCTAAAAACAATTCAGAACTTCAGAAAACCCCTCTTCCGGCCTCCATTGCTATGTTTACATTCCATTAAGCGTCATCAATCTTAACGGCAGACAAAACAGGCCAAGCAAATCGTATTTTTAAGAATTTATAAATGACAAGCACCTTACATCTTTAAGCGATTTCCCCGCGAAAAACCATCCAAAATGAAAAGAAATCTTTGTGAAACAGACGATGAACACAATTTTCAGTGCACATGTACATGCCATATTTTTTATTTTTGTTCAGGAGTAGGTTAAAAAAACAATTTAATATTTTTTAGTATATTAATTGAAAATAAAACTGTTTTATACACATCTTGTCTGTCTTTTTTTATTTAGATTTAATTAATATAAACCAAGTTGAGTTGACCCAATTAGAGTGATATCAAGAAATGAATAAGTATGTAGATGTAGTGTTATCTCCCTTGTTGAGCTCCAAATTTCATATTTGTTAATAAATATTTCATGTAATGGCAGTAAGTCACACAACTTGTTTGATTTGATAGATTTTACTCTTTTAATTTGTTTATAGAATACTTTTATTAATTTTCAGAAATGTATACATTTGATTTGAAACATTTAAAATTTCTATATACCTGTATACTTCTAAATAAATAGATATAAGAAGATGTGGTATGAGTGCCAAGGAGACAACTTTCCATCCAAGTAAAAATTTATGAAAGTAAACCATTATAGGTCACAGCACAGTCTTCAACACGGAGCCTTGGCTCACACCGAACAGTAAGCTATAAAGGGCCCCAAAACATTACTAGTGTAAAACCATTACAAACGGGAAAACCAACGGTCTAATCTATATAAAAAACGAGAAACGAGAAACACTTATGAACCACATCAACAAACGACAACTACTGAACATCAGATTCCTGACTTAGGACAGGTGCAAACAAATGCAGCGGGTTTATGGTACCAAACCTTCACCCTTTTTCTGAAACAATAGTGTAACATCACAACATAGAAAGACACACTATAAAATATCAACTGAAATAGCTTAACTCAATCAAATGACATATTACCACCATTGAACATACACTGAACAAATAAATTTGACCTATGACACAATGTAAATACAAAATAAAGTATGTATTGTCTAATTTTTCCTGATATATAACTAAACAGCTATTTCTTTAACATAAGATGGTATGTTAAGGGTGTAGTATTATCATGAAACCTTAGGCTTATCAATAGCTCTTCAATGCACCCTTCAATTGAATCCACAACAGAACTGATCTTGCTACATATACTAATAAAATTATTTCTTGTTGAGTACCTACTGTTGATGTTATGGGTTACACTTCTTGATATTCCTGCACCAAGTTCTCTTTTTATGAGTATTGTTTTATTAACATTTATTATTCAGAAGATGAAGGAGCTTAAAGTAGAAGTACCCATGGTAAGTCTAAAAAAGTGTTGATTATCATAGATGCTAATTTTTTTTTCTATAATTCATATGTGTAATATAATAGATTTTTTATGGAGAGAATTTTGTTCTATACTGGTATCGTTTTTAGATCAATTAACCAATGTTTTGAAGATAATTTCTTTATCAAACATTTTTTTCATATAGTTAAATTTCTGAAACCTTCATAAAAAGTTCCAAATATTCGAATGTAGGTCGGGTGTAAGTGGAAATGAACGAATAATGCGGCGAATATGGGTCTCTCACTCTACAAGCAAATAAACATGATCTATTTAATTATTCACTTTTCAACTTGAATACTGAAATATAAACTATTTCATTATTCATTATTCATTACTAAAAGTCGAATAATGAATAATGAACTATTTTATTTTTCATTATTGAATTTTGAATTTTGAAAAATGACTTGTAGACGTATTTCAGCGCGGTGGAAAAATATTCACCGAGTTGACGCTTTTATTGTATAACGAAACTTTTACATAGCAATGACAACAATTCATCGAAATTTTTGACTTTACAGGAACAAATTGTCCCACTTTTGCAACAAGAACTGTTTACCCTTCTGTAGCACACGAGTTCACCCAATGTGTTTACCCTTCTGTAGCACACGAGTTTACCCAATGTGTTTACCCTTCTGTAGCACACGAGTTTACCCAATGCGTTTACCCTTCTGTAGCACACTAGTTTACCCAATGTGTTTACCCTTCTGTAGCACACGAGTTCACCCAATGTGTTTACCCTTCTGTAGCACACGAGTTTACCCAATGTGTTTGGCTGAGCTTGTTTCGCTAAATCTTTAGTTTTCTATATATGTTTCTATTCGTTTTTTCAGAAATTGGAATACTAAAGCTGTTATCTACAATTGTACAGCACAAAGAAATCAATCGTCTTTCAAGAGATTGACGTAGCACCTAAGATCACTCCAGGTTTTTGTGGGGTTTGTGTTACTCAGTCTTTAGTTTTTTATGTTGTGTTTTGCCTGCTGCTGTTTATCTTTTGGTCGTTTTCCGTTTTTTTTTTTTTTTTTTGCCATGGCATTATCAGTTTGTTTTCGACTTATGCGTTTGAATATCACTTTGGTATCTTTCGACTCTCTTTTACACTACTGGATTGAGTGCGATCAAAATGTCTGACAATCAAAATGAAAAGAACCCTTTTTTCACGTGGCACCCCAATTTACATTCAATTTGGAATAATATGTTGCTCTACAACAAAAACCGATTATCAGGTTATGTGATTGATAAAGGTCATTTGACTTCACAGTCCACACTTCTTTGGTTTTTCATTCTAAGGAAAGAGAGAGGACGACATTTGGCCTTAAAACTGACAATTTGAAAAGTGATATATGAAGTGGGACTTATTGAACATATGCAAGAAACAAGTATTTTTGATAGGTATCACTCATAATCTACTTGACTCTCGCTTGCGCTCTATATATTTGCAAATGCGTATTTGAAATCTACTAAAATCTTCATGTTATTGAACTGTCACTTTATACTTATGTGTTATCTTAAATTTAATATAGATATAATCCCAAATCAAAAGTGCAGATTTGAATAGAAAATAAGAAGTCAGGATATTATCGTGTTTTTGTCCTTTCCAGATGACTATACTATCAGCTTTCTTTAAGATGACAAGAACGTTTCCATGTCTTTTTCACAAATATAAACTCTTTAAAGAAATGCGATATTCTCAACATAAAAACACATTATGTTACATGTATATTTTCACGTAGTGTATCTGATATAGCATTGTAATAATTATGTAGAATTGTAAGGGCACTGTTGGTTGTAGTTCAATCAAATAAAGCATTTAAGTTTTATGGAAATGTTTATTCCGATGCATAACTAAATAAATATCAAACAACAAACAAATTTGCAAACAAAACGGATTTTCTCAAGGAATTCTGGTCGTCTATACATGGATAGTCCCTGAAAAATGAAAAATGAAGTTAACAATGTTTTAGAATTAAAATTATCCTATTTTCGTTTCAAAATATTTAGGTCTAATGTGAACAAAAAAAAAAGAAAAAGAAAAAATTCCAAAAAGAACAACCATCTTAACAAAAGACGAGTTAATTGCATTAAACAGCAATATGCAATATTCGTGCAGTTGTTCTAATAGTATAAAGATATAAATCGAAGCATAAAAATTAAGAATTTTATATTTGAAAGTCTTTATCGTTTTCCAAATTTATTTCTTGGTTAATAATATTGACAGTGGATCCTCCTTAGGTAGATATATATCTTGATAACAAAAACTCATATAAATACCTTAATATTTGCTGTATCCACCTTTGCCATATCCTCCGCCGATTCCACCACCGATTCCACCACCGAATCCGCCTCCGTATCCACCTCCGTATCCACCACCGTATCCACCTCCGTATCCACCTCCGTATCCACCCTTTCCACCAAATCCACCTCCGTATCCTCCTAAACCTCCACCGTATCCTCCTAATCCTCCATAACCTCCACCGTATCCACCTTTACCACCTCCGAATCCACCTCCGAATCCACCTAAACCACCTCCGTATCCACCTTTACCACCTCCGAATCCACCTCCGAATCCACCTAAACCACCTCCGTATCCGCCTTTACCACCATAACCACCGCCGTATCCACCTTTACCACCTCCGAATCCACCTCCAAATCCACCTCCAAATCCACCTAAACCACCTCCGAATCCACCTTTACCACCATATCCTCCTCCGTATCCACCACCACCAAAACCGCCGAATCCACCTTTTCCGTATCCTAAACCTCCACCGTATCCACCTTTTCCACCTCCGAATCCGCCTCCGAATCCACCGCCAAATCCGCCTCCACCCCAGCCTCCACCGCCAAATCCACCTTTTCCATATTTACGGTATCCACCGTAGCCACCAGCGTAGACTACGGCCAGAGAAAGACAGAGGACAGCTAATTCCTTGAACATGATGATCAGTCTGGGAAATAATAAAAAAAAATGTATAATTTTTTATAAATATGAAACGATTTTTGCCTTTTCTGCCGTGTTTAAATCTTCAATTTTTCATGTTGATTTATATATGATAAAGTCTGCAAAAAAAAAACATTACAATTGAATTTCTTCTTTTCCGAACTATGATTGTTATTACTCCTAGTAGTACCATAAGCCGTAGAAGTAGTAGTATTTTTTGTTGTTACATTTATCTTTATAATTTCTATAACTAAATTAAGGATAGAGTGATAGACGATATATTTTCAGATTCATTCATTTGTTGTTTATGTATGGCGGATGCAAACAAATGAAAAAGGAGCGACACATGTTTTTTCCGTTATTTATATTTTTGTTATAAATTAGTAAGTTTAGAAAATCGACTTTCGTTTTCGTAAATGTTAAGGGTTTTCAATAATTACACATGTACTGTTATCCAAAACCGAGAAGTGTCCATAATGCATCACGATTCCTGGATTTGTCTATTTGTGCATGTTTTACTCGACACTTGAGTTCTCAACTAACTAATACTACCTAAAAAGTGCAAATCCTTATAAAACAATAAAAAAATAAATCGCCGCCGATAAGTTTTGAAGTAAAAAGAATATTTACTCATTGATCTATCATCTTAAAATATATATGAGAATCTGGGACTATAATACTATAATAGTCCCGGTGAGAATGCAGTTGGTTGAATTTCTTAATTTTTTTATTTATGATAGCAAATTTTTCAACCAGAAGGACAATAAAATTGGTATAGTGGTGTGTTGGGTTGCCTATTTGTATAGATGTACAAAATTGAATAGCGTGATAGCATAAATAATGGCAAATATTGTCACGAGCAAATTTTTATATTGCACAAGCTCGCAAGTACAATATCTTTTCTACAAGTATAATATCATAGATATGCATGTAATAACCTTTCAAATGTATAGCAATGCTTGAAAAACTTTTAAAAACCCATTTTGTCACTACCCGTATGACTTCGATAATCTAAAGCTATGTTTCAACAATCGCACGCTAATTGTTCGTTGTATACTATGGTAAGTAATATGTTGCTATACATTAAAAAGACTTTAAGTCATTTGTTAACATAAGAACCAAAGAGATATTAATGAAAGTAAATATGTGAAAATTATTTAACTTATTATTCAAATGAATAGTATTCATTGTAATCTTATAAAAAAAGAAACATACTTACGTGGATGGATTCGATGAAACGTGTGATAGAAGTCCTATGCGAATTCCCCTTATATAGTTGAGATTTTATTACTCCTTGGTCCATTGGACATGACCAATGTAGACTTGCTATAATCATTTTGATGTCCATTTCAGGTTGCAATAAAACCAAATACACAATTATTTATCCGAGGTTGTCACAATAAAGACTTCGAGGTGTCAAATAAATTTTTCGAAATATACAACGTTGTCCATCACAATGACCATATCGTATTACAATAAACATTTGAAAAATATACCTTAATAAGCAAATATGTTAATATCTACATTAATCAATTTATTAAATTATGTTCCTATTCCTTTTCCTTTTTTTTCGCAGACAAATTATTATCATAAATTTCTATTTAGACAAAAGACAGTAATAAAGACTAAAATGTTGGCTTATATTGCATATGGGTTATTGTAATATTCTCTATAGCGCAAATATTTTTTTATTTATGATTTGTGAAAATCAGTTTTATTTGAAAATTGATCAAGGATCTCAATGTTTAACTCATATCATCATAAATGTTACAGGAGTAAATAATTTCTCGATTCGCACTAATGATCTAATGACTTGACTCAAGCTAGCGAACAATTGTAGCGAACAATTAGCCAGCGAACAATTAGGAGGTATAACTAAAAACCACAATTTCACATAAGACAATCACGTTTTTTTCGAGCTAGCGAACAATTACAGAGACCTAGCGGACAATTATGAGAATATTCAAAATATTAAACAAAAACGAATAAAAAAAATTAAAACAAAAGGGATACCATAAAGATTTTGACCCATTTCTAGAGATTGTGACAGGCAACGACTGTAAAGGTAACATAGAGGAGATATTATCGTATCTAATAAGGCAAACTCCAGAATGGTTTATGTTTAAAAATCTGAAGTTAAGTTTAAAAAACTGAAATTGTAAAAACGAAAAGGGAGGAGGGGGCATACATTAAGTTGATTTTCGACCCATTTATAGAGATTGTGACGGTACACGACTGCATAGGTGATGCAGCTGAGACATTAGCGTATCTATTAAGACAAACTCCAGGATGGTTTATGTTAAAAATCTGAAGTTAGGTTGAAAAAATTGAAATTAAAAACGAAAAGGGGGGATACCTTTAGTTGATTGTTGACCCATTTATAGAGATTGTGACGGGCAACGACTGTCTATAGGTGATGTAGAGGAGACATTGGCGCAACGTTTAGGAAAACTCCAGAGTGGTTTATGTTCGAAAATCTGAAGTAACGGTTAAAAAACTGAAATTGTGAAATTGACAAAATGAGATTAAGGGGGTAGGCCAATTTCAGTTAATTTTGGACCCAATTCAAGAGATTGTGACGGGCAACGACTATATAGGTATTGTAGAGGAGACAATGGCGCATCGTTTAGGAAAATCTCCAGAGTGGTTTATGTTCGAAAATCTGAAGTTACGTTTAAAAAACTGAAACTTTTATTGTGAAATTGACAAAATGAGATTAGGGGGGTAGGGCATTACAAGAAAAAATTGGACCATTTTAAAGAGATTGTGACGAGCAACGACTACATAGGTGTTGTAGAGGAGACATTGGCGCATCGTTTAAGAAAATCTCCAGAGTGATTTATGTTCGAAAATCTGAAGTTACGGTTAAAAAACTGAAAATTTTATTGTGAAATTGACAAAATGAGATTAGGGGGGTAGGGCACTAAAAGAAAAATTTGGACCATTTTAAAGAGATTGTGACGGGCAACGACTATATAGGTGTCGTAGAAGAGACATTGGCGCATCGTTTAAGAAAATCTCCAGAGTGGTTTATGTTCGAAAATCTGAAGTTACGGTTAAAAAACTGAAATTCAGAAATTGACAAAATTAGATTGGGGGTAGGCCAATTTAAGTTAATTTTGGACCAATTTCAAGAGATTGTGACGGGCAACGACTATATAGGTGTTGTAGAGGAGACATTGGTGCATCGTTTAAGAAAATCTCCCGAGTGGTTTATGTTCGAAAATCTGAAGTTACGGTTAAAAAACTGAAATAGTGAAATTGACAAAATGAGATTAGGGGGGTAGGCCAATTTAAGTTAATTTTGGACCAATTTCAAGAGATTGTGACGGGCAACGACTATATAGGTGTTGTAAAGGAGACAATGGCGCATCGTTTAAGAAAATCTCCAGAGTGGTTTATGTTCGAAAATCTGAAATTACGGTTAAAAAACTGAAAATGTGAAATTGACAAAATGAGATTAGGTGGGGTAGGCCAATTTAGATTAATTTTGGAACAATTTTAAGAGATTGTGACGGGCAACGATTATATAGGTGTTGTAGAGGAGGCATTTGTGCATCGTTTAGGAAAATCTTTAGAGTGGTTTATGTTCGAAAATCTGAAGTTACGGTTAAAAAACTATAATTGTGAAATTGACAAAAACGGAAAAATTGATGAAATTATCGGTTCCGTTCTCCAACTTCAGTTTGCCTCAACCAAATGTTATGAAACTTAGACACAATGCTTATTACCACAAAACGGTCTCAACTGTATGTGGAAGTTGACTCGTGCATATTTAAAATCTTGAAAAATAGACCAACACTCATCCTTAATGGTTAAAATTAATTATTTCCCCAATTAATCAAAGTGACAATTTATATACCTTCAGACATTTATTGACATGTACAATATATTTCAGATCACTTGAAGTAGTATTGGCAGTAATTTTAAAGTGATCATTTGATTAAGCATTTGAATGGGCTTGATAGTGCTTTCTTTTTTCGATATCTCACTTTTTGTAGTAGTCATTCAAAATTCGTAATTTGTCTAAATAAACATATCTTTAATAAATAAATATCACAAAATAATAAAGAAAAAACATACGGAAAGAGAAGAGGGCAAGTGGCCGAAAATGGTTTATGTATTACAATAACAAAAATAGACATAATTTGAAAGTCACAATTATGAAATGCTTACGTTTTCCCTTTTCTTTAGATTACTACGTATTCGTGAACATATACATGCAAACAAAAAAATATTTTCCTCTCATTCTACGTTTAGAATTAACAATGGGAATGGAATTAAATGAGGTGTTTCTAAACATTTAATTATGTATACTTCTGTTAATATTTGAAATGTATGTTCTTATTATTTAGTTACTTTTTGTTGGGTTGCTTAATGATTGACATTTGCACTTCATTTGGTTTTATTTATACCAAATGAATACTCATTCATTTTACAATAACAATAACAATAGGTCTTGACAGATACAAGTTCTTAATTACTTCATTTAATTTAAGGATGAAAATGCAA